CTCGTTATGTCTTCGTTCACTTTCAAATCGGGTGAATAGAAAGCTAAACACACTCACTCCTTGCGCTTATGGGCTAGCCCATCAGAGCCAGACGTGAGACCTACAGAATGGATTTCAATTGATCGAATGCACACATTAGTCACCGTAGGCCACAAGCCATCACTCTTAGCCAAAAGAGCTACTGCTTCGTGCTGGTGTGGAATGATGTGCTATGAAGTGAGATTTCAGATCCGAGCACATAGTCAGCGAGCGTTGATCCGACGTGCATTGTGGAGCTTCTCCGTGCATTGTGGAGATTAATGTTGTTTTCTGTTTAATTTAATTTGTTTAAATAGAGTAGTTTTAATAAAAATGTTTGTTTGTTCTTGGTTTTTTACTTATTTGTTTTCAGATTCTTAAGAACTAGGCAACTTAGTAAAGCAAGATTTATTTTGTTTTTTAGTGCAATTGGAAAGAGCTAAAGTGCTTTTTAGTCACTTCAAATCATTTGTTTCTTTTTTTAAATAGAAGGGTTAATAATAAAAATTTTTAGAGAGTCGAACTGTTACTGATTTGAGTAAGTTTAATGTTTTATTTTGTTTTATATTAGATATATATTTTATGTATTTAACATGGAAAACTGACTGTAATTTTTGACAGGTAAGTTTATATACATAAATGTGCCTCTATATCAGAATATTTTATATTTCTCTGAATTTATATAAATATTATCTCATAGAAAAAATTAAAAAGAATAGAAAAAATTTGAATATATATACAGACATTAAAATAATGTCAAAAATTTTGTTTTATATTTTTCAGTTGTAAAAATATAAAACGTTTATTTATTCAATTTTAACAGTAGTATAATCACTGGTAATATATTTAATGGTAACAGATGTATAATATTAGGTTCGAAGAAGTTATTAGTGAAAATGGTTATAGGTGGCTTAAAATTGCTGTCATATGAAAGAAATAGATTTAGGAGTGATAAAGTTAATTGTCGTTGAAATATAAGAAATTTGGCTTGATAGACAGAAAACGTTTTTGCCAGAATTCAGTGTCAAGCAGAGTGTTGATGTCTATTATTTGATTCTACATTAGACACTTTAAAATATGAATTTTAAACTATGAATTTTACTTTTTTTAATATTTTAATTTTAAAGTATGAATTTTACTATTTTTAATATTTTAATTTTTAAGTATGAATTTTACTATTTATAGTAACAAGTAATAACAGTTTCAATTTTTAATAATTTTTTTATTTTTTTTTATTTGTTATCTTAAACATAATTGTGTTCATTTTTTTTAGTTGTCTTTGTCATCACTTGATTATTTTGCTTACTGTTGAAACATGGTTTTAATTTTGAAAATTTAATGATGTGAAATTTACAATATTATTCATTTGTCAACAGTTAAAGAGAAGCTGGAACTTAATTAATAAATGGTCGAAGGTAACTTTTAGTTAAGGTAAAAATAATTTTGTTTATTGGTAGCATAATAAAACCAGTTACTGTTATTTATTGCATGACTTTTTTACTTTTTCTAACGTGCTGTTTTTAAAACACTTCCTCTCTCTCTTAGATGAGACTTAAATAAGAATTACTATAGAGAGAGAATAGATAAAACTCATGTAATTACTGAGCTCTTGCGTATTTTTAAAAACTGTGATTGATTTTCTTCTTTGTAATAATGATATCATAATTTCATTACTTTTTTTTTTTAGAATTACGTTATGACGCATTTATAAGATTTATAAAATAAAAAAACCTGATTTCTTTTTATTGTAAATTTTTGTTAATTAAAAGGATATAAATATATACTATTAGTTAATTTTATATTTTATCTATTTTATGCCTAATAATTTGTTGTACGTATTTTAAGGGGATCTTTATAAATGGGAGGTCGTAACTAAAAACCTTTTAAAAAATGGAGAATATTGTAGTCTTGCGCATTAATATCGAGTTACTCAAGTTTTATTTATTTGTTTAACTATTAGTTAGCTTAGTCTGTATTTGCAACACTTTTGAGGAAAGAAAGAAAACATTCTTATATATGTAGATCATTGTTTTATATTTTATTATTTTATTTTATTCACCTGGTCACCATTAAAGCAAAAAGAGGGGAGGAACCTCTTTATTAGAGTCAAAATATTTAAAAAAATTAAATTTCGAGTTACAAATGGAATTTTTAGTAAATGGTGGCAAAATACCGTTAACTAAAAATTAATGAAAAAAAGGAATTTTTAAAGAGGCCAAACAAATAATATAGAAATGGTCTGTGTTGAACAGACTTAACAAGACCTGGGTCGGGTAAGCTTGGTTTACAATTTTTCATGTCTACTTATCTGTTATAATTTTTATTTTAGGTTTGTCATATGATGCATTAATGCATTAAGTTTTCATATTTTTCAAATTTATTATACCCATGTTTGATCGTAAATTAAAGTTTTTTTGTTTGAAACGTATTTGTACTCAGTTGCTTAGTTATTTATAATAAACTTTGTTATTTTTAATAAATTTATTTAAATGTGTGCATTAAACATTTTTAAGTTAACAATTTTCTTTTCTAAAGAAAAATTAATCAAGGGGATACCAAAAAATTGATAACTCCTGTATAATATAATTTATTCTTTTTAACTTTATTTTAATCTTAATGGTTCGTGTTATAAAAATTATTACAAGGATTTCGTTGATACTTTCGTCAATTTAAAGCATGACGAAGTGTTATTATTTTGTGTCAGTAACTAAAAACGTATTGTGTTAAACTTAGGAAGGTCGATGAAAATGGTTCTGCCTTACACTGTTATGACCTATACCATTTGTAAATTACTCAAATAATGTTAAGTAGTAATTGTAAATGTTAAGTAGTAGTTGGTAAATTATTTTACCTCCTCATATTTTTTATGTTAATTTTACAGATGGATTAATTTTATCAAGCTGAAGGCGATTTTCTAAAAGGGTATTAGTTAAGGTTTTGCATCATTAAATTTTGGAAAACAGCCACTATAAATTAATTATGTAACAGACCGACCATAACCCGTATTACAGGTTGCTTTTTGCCAGTCATAAGATAATGTTTGTTTTTTTCCATAGAGAAAGTACTCTTGTAATATTATTTTATAGTTTAGGGAAAATATTATTAAAACAAGATAATAGAATCTTATTTTAAGTAAAAATAATATTGAAATAAGAAAAAAAATCCTTTTTTTTAAATATAAATTCTTGAAACAAGAAAAAAAAAATCTTCATGAAATTTTAATAAATTCTTAAAACAAGAAAAAAAATTCTAATGTGGCGGACAAGTCTTTTTTTTGTTTTAAGACTTTTTTTGCTTAAAACAAGAATCTTGGATTTTGCTGTGTACCAGAAAGCACAGTGGGCATGCTTTGTCTTGAGGACGTCAGACGTTTCATGGTTGTCTAGACGTCCATAAGACGTTCAAAAAACGTCCTCCGGACGACGCAAGCCTACTGGGAAGGCACTAACAGAAGAGGGGTGTTGTGTCCAATTATTATTGCTAATATAAGTTTAATAAAAAGTTGTTTCTTTTTTTTTTTATAGTTTAATATTTATTTTTGTAATGTTATGTTATTAAAATGAACCTAACATCACTTTATAAAAAAAATTTTGTAATGTTATGTTATTAAGATAAACCTAACATCACTTTAAAACAAAATTTTGGGCTGAAGATAATATTTCTTTACTTGTGAGGTAACTTAGTAGAAAATGTAACGGTTTTTTTTTAGAAAATGAAAGTAGTAGCAATGGGTCATCGGCATAGTAGTTCACTACGTCTTTTTATTTTAATATTTTTTAAAATAGTTTTATCCCTTAACCCAAGATCATTTGAAGGTATTTTAGGGCTATTGCAGCATTATGACTTGCAATTACCATTTGCTTGTACTAAAAAGCTTTGGCTAAAAATATGTAAAGTCTTCTGAAAAGTATTGTTATTTCTTCGGATTTTGAAACTGTTTAACTATTAGCTATGAATTGAAAATATATTAACAATTCAAATATACGAATAAAAATTCAAAATTAAATGTTTATATTTGATGATGGTTTTTAAACTATCAAAATAAAATATAATTTTTATTTTTGTTTGGTTTTCTTTTTTTTTTTAAAGTGTGCCATTAAATCGTTTTATTTATCAATTTTTTATTAAATTAGTCACGCAATTTTTTTAAATTAAGTATGGCAAAACATTTATATCTTTTAATTGTCAACATCTAAAACACTATCGTGTCGCATGTCACCAAGCCCAACTTAGCGCGTCACATTTAAATTTTCTAAACGTGGCGTAAAAAATTGGGCTTGGTGACATGTGACACGATAGTGTTTTAGATATTCCGTGACAAATGAAAAATTTCAATGTCACGCCACACTTATTTTAAAAAAGTCGCGTGACTTATAAATGTCACGTCTTACTTAATATTAATTGAGGCGTGACATTTATTAGTCATGCGACTTTTTTAAAATAAGTGTGGCGTGACATTAAAGTTTTTCATTTGCCACGAAATATCTAAAACACAATCTTGTCGCATGTCACCGAGCCCGATTTTTTACGCCACGTCTAGAAAATTTAAATGCGGCGCGCAAAATTGGGCTTGGTGACATGCGATTATGCTATGCTATAATAATAGCTATAAGATGGCAATGTCACGCCAAACCTAATATCTAAAAGTTGCGTGACAATTTTAATTTTTAATACCGTGTGTTAAATCGGGCTTCGTGACATGGCGGCTTTATTAAACAATATGGCCGGACTTTTTTTACAGTGTACGAAAAACTCCATGAACGCACTCACTAACAAATCTACTTTTAAAGAACACGCATGAACTACTTACAAACTTAATTAAATTGTTTATGATTAAGTTTTAGTTTTAACTTTTCATACGACATTATTTCTTACTATTCATGTGTGTTCTTTATTTTATTATATTTAAGCGAGTTATATATAGCTCATGCGATAAAAACATTGGATAACTTAATTCATTATAATAAATAAAAAAAACTTACTTCGTTCACACTTATCAATTACATCGTTTCTTTCGCAATAAACCAATCCATTTTTAATATCTTTCCATACTTTATTAGGATACGTTCTAATCCAACTGTTTAGAATTTGATAGGTTTGTTTAAAGGCAGTATTAAACTCACTCAACACACAATCAATTTTTTCATCGCCAATATCCAATCTACGAGCAAGCTTTTTCCAGTCATTGGGTAATTCATGTGCAAGCGTGTTCAACACTTCTTGGGGAAGTTTTTTAACTAAAAAAATGAAATGATTTTTTCAAACAATGTCAAAAGCATTATTTATTTATATAACAGAAACAAAAATCACCTTTTAAATCATCGAATTCGTTGCAAACACCTTCTTCCTCCATTTAATTTTAAACGACGGTTTGTTACTAAAGAATGTTTTACTGAAAATAACTTTTCAAACTCCAACATCATATGTAAATCAGTATTTCTAATATCAACTGTAAAAAACTTCTCAATTTTTATGTTTGCCAACAATATTGAATTTGTTTACTTTGATGTTAATATTTGTCAAAAAAGAACAGAGCATGTTTTACAGTTTTTAAAAATATTATTTACTTTTTTAAAGTAAATAAATTTCTTGACGCGGCATTTTAAAAGACATGTACTTTTGATTTATAACTCTGCAAAAAACGCACTTTAAAATGTTATTGTTAGTTGGTGTCTACAACAAAATTAGAACAATCGAGAGGACAGAGAGGTAAATACAAAGTAGAGTATAGTTGCTACCTGCTATAGACTGGTTCAATTTAGATAAGTTAATCGTTTATTGTTTCATCTCTTTTAGATAATCATGATGGTATTCAAAAAGGGATAAAACGATTTTAAAAACGCAATCTTTACGAGACGCCATATAAAAATATTTTTATAACTTATGTATCCTCCGTAATTTTTTTACTTATGTTTCATACAGTAGAAAAATATTAAAACACATTAACTCCATTTTTCAAAAAGTAGAGATGATCAAGATATTTCTAACTTTGCGATTAACTATAAAAGACTTTTGTAAAAAGTTGTTTAACAAAAATAGTTTCTCAACCGTAGAAAAATTAGATCTAAAAGACCAGAAAAATATTAAAGCAATCTTCAACTTCACGTTAAAGAAATACTTTCCATTTAGACAATTTTCTGACTTATATAGAAGTTGACATATGTATATCTAAAAAAAACATTAAAACAACAACAATTGATTAGCGATTGCAATCCCGGGATCCCGGTGTTTTATATATTCCGAAATCCTGGGATTCTCTATTATGATATCCGGGATTTCCTATAAGATTGAGCAAAAAACAACGTACTGAAAAAATATAACAACGTACTAAAAATAAATTACAACAACTTATGCGTCTCAATAAAATATTTTAGAAATAATATAAATTTGCAGAAAATAATTGTATTTTTAGCTGTGCAATAAAAAAAATTATCGAAAAGGTTTGATTTGCAGAAAAAAAAAGGTCAACGTTTTGTATTTTAAAAGAAAGATTAAATAACTAAAGAAATTAAGGTCCAAATACAAATTCTAAATCATTTATTTAAAAGATTAAAAAGAAATCAATTTAAACTTTATACAATACTAAAAGTTAATTTTTTTAGCCTTTAAATCTTCAAAGATTTTGATTTTTTTGGTTAGGTCTAATTTTGTTGCTCTTTCATTTTCGATGGATATTATAGATTAAATATTTTTTTATTAGCTTCAATTTGCTAAAATTCTCACTTGCAACAGTAATTAGTTTGACAGACATTTGTAATAAAATCCAAATATTAAGAACCACAATTTGCGAATCACTTGATTTTATAAAGTTCAATACATTTAGCGGACGTCCAAGAGTATTTTTAGGCAAAAGGGTAGATACAAATTTCAACTCGTCAAATAATTCTGGGCCATCAATATCGCAATTATTTTCCATTTTTAATTTCAAATGCAGATCTTTTCAAAACTTATGTAAGTCATTGTTCGCAGGTAAATGTCTTCAGATTATATAAAATTTTCCATGTTTGGTGAAATTCATTCAGTTGTTAAAATCTTTCTTGAAGAGATGTTATGACATTAAAAATGTTCTTTGGAATTATTACAATTGCATCTCTACTCTAAAAAGTAGTCTTTTGCTCAACTTGCAAAGATTCATCCAACTTTTTTTTATTCATTAGAGAATTTTCAAAACCAGCTACCCTATATTCTATCACAAAATCTGTACATGATTTCATAAGTGAAACTACTGAGGCTATATTCATGGATGTATGGATTTGCTAACAATATTTACACGATATAAAATATTAAACCAGGTAACAAAAATTATCATAAAAGAAAAAAATGTTTATCAGAAAATGTATAAGCTTCTAGTTTAATGGAAATATGAGAAGAGTTTCACTCAAAGTTACTAAAGCATCGTAAATTTTCACTATTTGATACCGTATTTGTTTTAAACATTTAATTTGACTTTCCATTTGAGTTCCACAAAGAAGTAAAATTGGATAAATGACCTTTTAGTATGTTCCATCTAGATACTGAAGCTGAAAACAGTGTATATATTTGTTTGACAATTGCAAAAAGTAATATCGACTCGATACAAGATGATAAATCGCTTATAACTAAATTTAGAGAAATACATCCATAAGCAGGGCTGTGGAGTCGGAGTTGGAGTCGGAGTCGGAATTGCGGAGTTGTGACATTTTCAGCGGAGTCGGAGTCGTAATGATTAAACAAAACCGCGACTCCGACTCCAATAGTAAAACTTCTCAGTATTGCACGTGCCTGTACAAAACATTCAATTTACCTTATGTTCATACTCAGTCAGAGTCGAAGTCGTTACGTTTTTTTTTAAGACTTCATACACATAAAAAATCTTGTAAAAAAGCCTGATTAATTCTATTTCCATCACATATTATGGCTTTGACTTGACCCGATGATTCCTTTATTGATTGGATAGTAATGCTAATTTGTTCGAAAAGAAATTGAGAGTTTAATTTACTTATAGGTATCATTTTGGAAATGAACGATGGTCCACCGAATAAACAATTAACCATTAAACCCAATACAGTTTTTGCAAGAGAAGTTGAATCATCCATTGCTTTTCCGAACAATGTACCACCATGATATAACAACATTTTTTTAACATAAACCTCGTCATGCAATAACAAACAAATTTTCTGTTTTTCTTCAATAGATTGAAAAATATTAGTGAAAAAAAGTTTTTCGTTTAATTTAGAAACTTTTGAAGTTATTCTTGTCAAAGTTCTTACAGAAGGCAATTGGTAATCTGTTCGCAATTGATTATACAAACTTCTGGATGTAGCAAAATACTGAAAAGATCTAATAATAATTTCTTTAGAATAAATCTTATTTCCAACACACTGTGTACCCATAGAAGCTAAATGTTCTTGAATTACAATTCTTTTCTTCCAGGAATCAAACTCTTTAAATAACATAGGACTTCTTCTAATATTGACCATGCATTAATTTTTGAAATTAATGCATGGTCAATATTTTTGTTTTTAGAAATTGGAGGAATTTTAATTTTGACTCCATAGTGATAAGTTTCAAAATGTAAATCGTCTCTAATCTTGATTAAAAAATATGGAACCCCATTTGAATAAGCTTGTGATTGCAAATGAATAATGCTATTAATCATAAAACATACTGATGGAACACCCAAATCTCTTTCATTACATAAAAGAATTTCTTTCATTTCAGCAAAAGTTACTCTATCTTTTTCTAAAAACACTGATAATTCATCTTGAGCAAAGTTTCGAATACATGAAGAGGCACTATTTGTTGAACGTAAAAGAGGAGGTTGAGTGGGAATTTGACAAGACGGTATGCCTGGCCAAACAGATGGTGGAAATTTAGGACGAAATTTTCCTCTAACTTGTTGTTTTTCAAAATTTATTGGCCAATGCAACTCACAAACTACAGTGTCATTAGTTACCTTTAGATTTGCATTTGGAATTACTTTAACCCATATTTGTTTTTCATCTTCATTTTAGGAAATCGATATACTGAGATCTTTAAATTATCAGATTTCTTTTTAGCCGATAAATAATTTGTGGTACAGCCATAAATACAACACTTTTTACCCATATTTCAATATCACTAAAATGGCGATTATAGTTAAGTACAGTTTAAAATAGGCCCCCAGTGAAATACGTTTTTTGCGCGTTGGCAAGGCCTGCAGTATAGATCGCCGTGGTTTCAACCAACACATCTAGTTTCTTATTCGGAATTAAAACCTGTAAAGACACGTGTTTGTCACAATCCAGGCTTAGACCAAAAACACAAGTATATTAAGAGCAGTTTTACTCGAGTTTAACACCATGTGTTTTTTTAAGTTTTTAAAGTCAAACTTAAATGTCTTATGCTTTTATCAGTGGTTTCACATTTTTTAAGGAAATTTATTATAATATACGTTTCCGTAAGGGTGAAACAGTAAATATTTTAATTGGTATTTATGGTAAATACAAAAAGTTAATTTCACGGTATAAAACCCATTCTTAGCTCATGTTATTCTTTTTGTTTTATAAGGTTTTAAACACGCAAGAGAAACCTAGCGTAACTTTTTCTGAGTTATACCGTCTGGGGTCCAAATCAACCTAATTTCTTTAAACTTCAATAATACTCAAGAAAAATCTAGAATGTTTCAGAGATTTCTTTACAAATATACATTTTTTTACTTTAGGTGCCCCAAAACATTCTTACAATCATATCACTGAGCACCGTGGAAGAGCATTTAAAAGGAAGTTTACGCTTCTTTCATTACCGACGTTAAAAAACTAAAGCCCATAGATGTTGTTAAACAATGGATCTCTATTGCCGAGGCAAGCGCTATCCACTGCACTATGGCTTCGTGTATAATTTGCAAGGACTTCTAGAAGATTATACGATCTTTTTAAAAAACCCTCTATATTATCAATTATAATAATAACAAAAAGTTAAAAATAAAGCAATAAAGTTATGCCAACATACATAACTATTCATATAAAATATAAATATACTGGATAAAACGTCTGTTAAAAAGATAGCTTCTTTTAATTTCTGTTTAAAAGAAATAAAAGCGCATTTCAAAGACAAATAAAAATTGGGCAAATTTAGGCGTAGTCCTTTTTTATTACATAAACAAATGGCTGCGATAAAAAATAAAGAGCTCTTATAGTTTTGCAGAAAGATTCTTAGAGATTTTTTTCCATCACGATAATTGCATTTGTATAAGGGTTTTACATTATGAAGGTTTATAAAATACATTTTGAGATAAATAGTCTTACATTTAAATATAAAACATAAAATATTAAAAGCATTTAGTTCGTATATATACAAAAAAGACAGATGCATACGTATAAATACATATGTATACATTTGTATGTATACGTATTCATCTGATTTGCAGAATGAGAAAAAAAAACATGAAAAATTTTGTTGATTCTTGAGGTTTTACTTGCATGACCCAAACGATTTTTTCTCATACATCTGT